ATGCTTTCTTCCAGAAGTGCACAATTCTTATGATATTTTCCACTTATCGGCCCCACTAGGCAGAAAAAGCACCAGTTGAAAATCAGCCCGTTAACAGCCTCTCAACCAGTAGTTGTAAATTGACAAGACACACCAACCTCTAGTTGAACCTTAACAGACAGTCAACTACTAGTTGAATGATTTGACAGGAATTGCCCTAATAAATAAAACAACAGAGTAAAATTTATTGAATCGAGAAAAATCAAGGCAATACTGCAAAGCAGTCTCTACTTACTAGCTCACAGATTCACACCAATTTCATACCTTTAAGGCTTTTGTTCAAGTTTATCACAAAAATCCTGTGCATTCATACCATGGAGCTCTCAGCTGTCAGAGCTGTCCGTTTTGATCAGCCCAGCACGGATAGCATAGAGCTGTTGCTTGAAGTCAATCTATATAAATAAAACTGCAAGGGTCGAACCCTTGTGATCCTTAGTTGGACCGCGTTCAGCAGAAAAGAACCAAGCCACATCAGCTATTGCCAAATTTAATAGGGCAATTTAATTTTTTCGCGAAAACGGTTGTGCGGATTTATGGGCAAATTTCAGTTAATTTTCTGCATTGTACGAGGCATATTCCTAGACATTTTCAAAGGGATCTGCAGAAACTTTCTCTTAAAAAGGATTTAATAGCCCATTTAAATTTGGCAATAACTGATGTGGCTTGGTGCCTTTCTCTTAAACGCGGTCCAATTCTGAGGAATCGCCAGGCATATTTCCTTGACTTTTGTTGCAAACGGAAGCTGTTGATGTCCAAATGATAACAAAAGTCCGAAACTTTCAATATCTGCTCTTGGAAGTTACATAATCACTCGCGAAGCGAGTAATTGGCAGTCCAGGGGGCGGACCCCCTGGTAGAGGTGTTCCAATTATCGATTGGTAATCGATTAATCAAGCCCTTAATAATCGATTAAAGTAATCGATGAACACTCTTCCGATTAATCGTCCAATCGATTAATAGTTTACAATTCATCAGAAATTCGATTAGTCGATTCATCAGCTTAAATTAGTCAATTAATCAGCTTAAATGAGTCAAATAAATTCTTAGAAGCTGATTATGACTCTAAAAAATGTTGGTTTGTAATTTAGATGCACAAGAAATTGTCTACCCACTCACGATGCTCTCCATCTGAAGAAAATCGAACACACACACAATAAAAAAAACACAATTAGTGTATATAACAATAACATATATTCACATGTATGTATCTCAGTACGTGTTGGTGACTACTAAATTTTAGTTCCCAGCAGCCAAACTAACCATTTACAGCAAAGTCCGGAAAAATCGATTAGTTGCTTGACTGATCAATTACATATTTCGATTACCGATTATGCAATTTTTCAAATAATCGAACACCTCTACCCCTGGCTAGGTGCGGAGGCAAGCAAAGCAAGCTGATGCAGCTAGCGGATTGATAAATCTTTGTTTTATCTTAGAAATAAACACAGCAAAATCAGCAACATTGCTTGGAAAATGCCATGTTGGCCTTAGATAGTGACTCTGTAATACTACAAGCTGGTATTTAACCTGTAGGTTTAGGAAACAGTTTGTTACATTATAAGCTGGGTCAGCGTAATACAGATTTTAATAATTCGACTTTAAAAAATGAGGAACGGGGAACTTCAGAGTCTTGACGAGGTGCTGATGACATTGGTCTGAGTTTGAGAAACATGTCTTTCTTATCACACACTTTCATTGGAATCATATTTTATTGACCACCTCAAGAGCTCATAGAAGGACTAAAAAACACCAATTTTTGAAGAGGCACTTACTGGAAATCAGCAGCCGGCCTTTTAAAAGATTGAAAGGAAAATGAGAGAGCTTCGTTGCAGTCTCTTAAAATAAAAAAGTGAGCAGTGAAGGAATGATAAGATTCTCTAAGTGAATAAACTAACAAGAGGTTAACAATATGAAGGGTGAGAATGCTCTTACTCCAAGACAGTTTTGCCAACGCTGATGTCAACTTCAACTGAAAGTGGTTCAATCCCGTGCAAAGCTATTAAGAAAGCCTGAATTTGATGTGCTTGGGTTTCTTGGGGTAGTGGATAAATCAAGTCATCAGTTAGGTCTTTAATTTCAACACCAACATCAACCAACAGCACTGAAAATAATTCTCTTGGCCCATCTGGTCTTCTGTCCATTACCACTCCTCTGAACCATGACCCTTCATATTTCACAGAAACATGCTGAAAAGATAGGAGGAAATAAGGTGAGTAAAAATTGCATTAAAAAAAAAAAAAAAAAAAAAACAAGCGGACAAAGAAATATTTCCTCTGGAAAATAAACTGGAAACAATTAAGCTGTCACATGAATCGATTTTCTTGAAAAAAGAAGAATCAGGTTTCTGGCCGAGTGAACTGCGAGGGTGCAGAAAGTTTCTAGTCTTCCCACTTTTCGAACTAGCCTTCCTATTTCAAAAATCCTTTTTCCCCAAAAAAGTTTCATAGCTATGACCTTATTATGATTCTTTACCAAAAAATTGCCCCGATTTTTAGGGAGACGGCCGATTTCGACGCTGTTGCATGCTGGTCCTCTCCTCTCAATTTTCACAAGCCTTCCTACTTTTTCCCGCCAGCGGCCATACAATCATAATCGTGAGATCAGGAAGTTTCTGAGCCTTTGGTGAGAAGAGATGGAATACACTGACAAAACGTTCAAGAGTAGTGCTGTTGCTGCGGTGAAAGGACACAAACTTGCTGACTGCAGAGTTTAGTCAGCACTCAAAGCAGAGCAAGCCAGTTTCATACCACGGTGTTCATGATCATGGTGTCTTCAAAGAAAAAAAAGAGGTAATGCTGTCATCAACCATTGCCGCCACCATCGACCCATGAAAACTCAAACCAGGCAAAAATCACGATGTCAGACTTTGGAGTTAAAGAAACATTGACCCTATGATCATCTCAAAATAACAAAAACAACTTCCTCGAGAAAATGAGAGTGGTGTCATTCATCATGATTTGTTTGAAAACTCAGAATCTGCTCCAGTGAAAGTTTCAAAAAATGTTTTTCTGACATTATAATCATTGACTCAACAATGACAAATGAACATCTCAATGATACTGGGAGTAATGGTCACGGTGTAAAAAAAAAAAAAAACTTACTTTTCCTTTTGCTGAAAAAGAGTTTTTCCTTTGAAGTTAATTCCACTTTTTGTCCATCAAATTATCTTTTGTGAAAGTTTAAATTTAACTTTCATTATTGCAACCAGTAAGTATGAATTGACACTGCGCTTAGTAGGGTTTCCCTATATTACTCCTGATATTAACGACACATGCTTATCTTTAGATTGCTGCTAGCATTAATGATGGCGATGTCAACAAAATCTGTTTTTCCTTGCGTGACAAATCTTAAGATGCGCAATTACTTCTTTCTGCCTCAAAGCGACTAAGGTTAACAACATTTAAATAAATATGCACAACAACAGCTTGCTCTTCTCACAAAATTCTGGCAAAAAACGTTGTAAAATAAATTTTTAGGGCCTGTCAAGGTGGAGAAAATGTCTAAAGACTGGCTACTGAAGAAAAGTAACAAAATCATAATAATTTACAAAGCTTCAGCAGACTGCTAGATAGTTAACCGACTTATTGTTAGCTTCATGGTGAGTGCATGACCTTTAAAACATTCCTACTCATCAACATCACCATATTTTTTACGTATTTTGTGTAATTTTTACCAAGGTGTTTTGGTTGGTAAATGATGACATAAATGAACCCTCTGTATTGCCAGTACCGTTGTTTACAGTTTACTTAATTTGGGAAAAACTAAAAATGAAGGTAACAATAATAAAAAATGTTAATTTTTGCTATCATTCACCAGCCACAACACCCTGATGAAAATTAAATACTTACAATACATTCAAAACATGCTGATGTTGAACTAAAAGTTTGTAGAATTTCAACATCACTAGTAAAAAGTTCTGTGTTATATTCATTTTCTCTTACAACTTAACTGTGGCAGACTTCACGGCCACACAAATCATTCTGGAAAAGGTGATGAGCTACTTCAGCCTGCAAAGTTTGGTACAACCACTAACTTGATCTAACATCAACCCTTTCCATTGGACTTCTTCCACATTTAGGAACCTGCGCATGAACTAAAAGGACTCAGTTCCAGTCAAATTGCATTATTATTTAATACAAATTCCCAAGGCATTTCCCCCTCTGGCATTCCCAAGGACACTGCTCTTTGAAAATCACATTATCTTCAATCAAAATTCGCGAAAAAAAGTTTAAATGTGAATCTTTCAGCATTATGACCAGCAGTATCTGAGAGAGTTGCTGAAACACCCAATGGGCCTGTTGCAAACTTTTGCTAGAGCAAAACTAAAAGTTGTTTCTTATAGATAATGCCTCAAAAATCACGATGAGCGCATCGGCAAACTCTGAAATGCACTCATAACTTCACAAACTGCGTAAGAAATTTGCGGTTTTTTGAGCTTCCCGCTTCAAAAACGATACTACGGCACAGGTGAACATTTTGTAAGAGGAGTCGTTCCATCGTCGGCAATAATCATCATAGCCGACGCCAATCCGCCAAAACACGTTTGATGGGACGAGATAACACCTGAACTGGATTAGACCAGATAACAATCGGTGTGTTAACGTTCATATTTTCCACGCCCGAATTGATTGACCTTGAACTCTCCTTGAATTACGCGCGGAACTGCGTGCAAGCGTCGGCCATGATGAATATCGCCGACGATGGATGGAACGACTCCTCTAACAAAATGTTCACCTGTTGCCGTAGTATCGTTTTTGAAGCGGGAAGCTTAAAAAAACGCAAATTTCTTACGCAGATTGTGAAGTTATGAGTGCATTTCAGACTTTGCCGATGCGCTCATCGTGATTTTTGAGGCATTATCTATAAGAAACAACTCTTATTTTTGCTCTAGCAAAAGTTTGCAACAGGCCCATTGTTGAAACGTAAGAAAAAAAGTTGAAAAATTCACTTTTCAGCCCTGCATTACTCAGAATAGACCATCAGTAAGTTCCATTAAAAGAGATTTTAGAGCTAAAAAGTTGTAAGGAACATCATATCAAATGATAAAGAAAAGTTAGCCAGTGCTGCCCACTAAATCCACTGGATTTGTGGTTCTTAAAAATTTAATTAAATTAACCATCTCTGTTTGTATGTCTCTTTAACTTTCTAATTCTTGAACACTGACATTTGCAAGCTATGGGTGGCTGAACTAAGCCCCCTTCCTCCTTCAGCAGGACTTTCTAGTAGTGATGGCGATAACAAATCGATATTAGATAATATCGATCGGTATATCAATATTTCGGAAAAAATAATCAAGAAAATTGCATTGATTCATTGATCTTGATTTTAAACCGAAATCAACTTTTCAAACAGAAATAGAATTGATTTCCGGATTTCTCCTATTCAGTATTTTGAATGATTATTCAAATGAAATTTAGTAATTCTTTGTTTTCAGCTCCGTAAAATTTTCAATTACCTTAAATTTACCTTAAGTTTACCCTTTAATCTGTGTAACATGGTAGTCTGTAAGTAATAGGAAGTCTCCATAATAAACCAAAACCATTGGCCACTAAAGTAACAAAACCAAGAGTTAGCTATGCATTTTGTGACAAATTTTTCAACCGTATCACATCCGACTGGGAGCCTAGGCGTCGGAAATGTAACAAACTAGTGAAAACAAGCCGAAATTTGTTTGACGCCTTTTAGTATTGTTACTTAAATAAAATGATCCTCAGTTCTATAAATCACCATCTCTCTCCGACTCTTTATTGTTGCTTTCCACTATATTGACTGTAAAACTGCAGAGGCTAATGCCTTGATCACACACCGATCTGCAAATCTAGGTTCGTTTTCTAGTTTGTAGTGAAAATCACCACTAAGAAAAAAAAGGTCAAACAAAATTTTGTGTAATCTTTTTAACTAGTACTCATCCCTTATCAAAGTAAAATCTGCCAGAAAATGTAGATTTCTGTAGGAAAAGAATTTACATTGGGTCATGAGTACAGACAGATTTCTTACTTTGACGAGGCATTTCCCTTTGCAATCCGGCAATCCTGTCCCCAGAAGGAGCTCTGAAAAATTGCATCTGCAAACAGATAAAGACATAAAGAGGCTAATTTGCGCCACGCGGTAAAACAAGGGCTGGTTAAAAAGGCAAAAACTTGTTCTAATGGACCTCGATTATTTGAAAAATCGATTTTTTGAGGATGATTATTAAGTCTATTCGATTTCTTAAATAAAAACAAATCGATTACTTAATGAAAATCGATTTTTTTTCATACATCACTATCACTACTTTCTAGCCCCACTTACTTCTACCATACTTAGCCTCATGACAAAATTCAAAAACAACTTCTAAATAGGTACTTACTGTATGTTTTTCAAGATCTTCTGGGAGAACAGATTTGCGATTTAACCGGATCGAAAAGTACTCGTTCAGCTCCTCGTCAATTTGATATTTCAAGGAAGTAGCTCTCTTGTTTACTCCTGATGGATAGCAGGCCCATAGCAGGCTTGGATTTACAATGGCTCCAAGAGTGATCGGCTCTCGCTTATTGATGGTGATGTCTGCAGGCTCCATTCTTTTTTCTAGAAAGAATTTAAAATTTTCCAATTAAGTTCAGAGTAAAGTAATTAACAATGACTCATTAAATTGATTGTAAGAATAATTATTCTTACCACAGATTTAATTATGATCACATGGAAAAATGGGAAGAACAACGCACATAGGCACAAAAGTCAATTGTTTACTTATCGCATGATAGCAGCAGGAAAAAATTGCGTATTTTACTACGGAATTTGGAAACAGAGAGCAAAAACTTCGTCGCTTTGATGGAGTTGGGAAACAGGTGTTTTTAAAATAGGAAGGCTCGGAGCATCTTGCATTATCCATGAAGGGTATCCTGATTACAAATTGTTACATTTCTTCAGATCTTTACGGGTAACGCCTATCTTCATGGGCAATTAAGAATAAAGTAAAAACAAACCGGCAGGACCAGGACCAGGACCCAGATGACAGGAACCAAAGACGAATACTTTTATTACTTCGCCATGCTTCGGCTACGGTACCTGTATACGGAGAGTAGCGACAGATCGGTTCATGGAGGGCTTAAACAGAGAGTATTGAAGGTTAGAGGCCCGACTCAATGCTAGGTAATTGAAACAGAAGCGCTCGCAGCGCGC